ACCGCTACTGACTGCTCTGACAGGGATCACAATACAGGGCCCTGGACAGAGCTGGAGAAAAATGTAGGATAAACTTCTAACTCACAAAAAAAGACCAGACCTACTGGCCTGACAGAGACTGGAGAAAACCCAAGAGTATAGCCCCTGGACACCCTTCTAGCTCAGTAATGAAGTCACTCCCAAGGTTCACCCTTTAGCCAAAGATTAGACAGGCCTGTAAAACAAAATGAGACTAATGGGGCACAACAGCCCAGGGACAAGGACTAGAAGGCAGGAGGGGACAGGAAAGCTGGCAATAGGGAACCCAAGGTTGAGAAGGGAGAGTGTTGACATGTCGTGGGGCTGTTAACCAATGTCATAAAACAATACGTGTACTGACTGTTTAATGAGAAACTATTCGTTGTGTAGACCTTCATCTAAAGTGCAATTAAAAAAAAAAAAAACAACTGGGTCTTGACAAGAAAAGTGATACCGTGAAACCTGTGAGAGCCGGAACTCACCGGGGATAGCCTTGGTTTCCCGCCTTTGACAGGGTGCAGTCTTAACACTTTTCTGTTGCTTGTTTTAGTGAAAAATATTTGCGTTTTCCTTCTCTAGCAGGTTTCCACCTTATACAGATTCCAGCTTTTGCAGGTTTTACTCTATATTGCTTCACAAAAGGGGGGATAAAAAGGTGCTACCCTGACCACATAGCTGGGAAAAGGCATGTAACGCAGTGCAGTGATCTGCCCTCATTAAACACAGTGGCCCAGGCTCTCGCTCGGCCTGTTTGAGCCACTGGATTTAGAATACTCTTGCTCTTCTGATTTAAATTTCACAGGAACCAGATGCTTTTCTATAGCGACATCCTCTCCTCTTCATGGCGTTCATGAAGTTCTATGGAAAACGCTCATTTCACCTCCTATTGTGAACTTCCTAGCTGTCACTTACTTCATGTAAAAGTTGGCTTCATTGAGATACGTGGAAGTAATAGGACCAACGCGAACAATCATCAGTGCAGGTCAAATTCTCTATTCGTTTCCTCGACTTTCAATTAGAGACGATTAGCCCTTACCTCTCTTACATGACAAAATGAGATGAGAGTTAGTAAAACAGCAACGGTAACATTAATAAAAAAATGGAAGTTTTTATTGAGGATATATATCAGGCGGTATGCTAAATATCTTTCTTAAAATCATCTGAAATTTTTCTGGAACTAATTTGCAAATTATAGACAATATCATCTTCATTTCAGATGAAGAAAGACTTAGATTAAGTAACTTACCCAGTCGTGAAAGTAGTACCAGTAAGTGATGGGGCTGTAATTGGAGCCAGTCTGAAAAAGCTTCAGTTTACAACTTATCTATTGGTAGTGACTTAATAAAGGTTGAGAAGCACTTTGATCCTATGTTCAGGCATGGCCAGAAAGAGTATCATGATTGATTAGCCATGTCTGCATGAACATCAGAAGGAACTGGGAGTAGCAGAACGCGAGCTGTGTATCTGCCTACTGCATCAGGCTGTCTCTTGAGGTAATGTAATTTAGGGAGGAAAAACTGTCTCCCTCCTTTCAAGTATATTTTGCTAAAGTGCCACAGTCTAAGGGCACTGTGCCCACTTATAATAAAAGCCACATGGTTCCAAAGTGTGCAGTGGCTGAGATGTGCCAGGGGCAGAGCTAATGGCTTCCCACAAATAACAATCATCCCCTTGGCCAAGCAGCTCCCCCACTGCCCCTCAGCAGTAGTATTGTCACATCGCAACAATGCGCCTTTGCCTGCAGACACATAGGCCCAATGGCTGGCACAGATGCTTTCCATGAAAAGTGCCTCTGTCTTTTGTTCTCAGTCAGGCTTATTGTTCAGAGCTTAGGGAGGGAGGCTTATGTCCAGATATGGGACAATAATATGTGGTATACACTTGTTGTCAGCAATATTGTGGGTCACCATGATAACAAAATTTTCAATGCTACAATGTTCTGAAGTGCCTTCTTCACCCCCTAACCACCCCTTAACTTGTGAATACCTACTCACTCTACTCAAATACCACTTCCTCTTGAGTCTTCTAGGACCACCACCACCAGCCAGTTAGTTTATTGATGTTTGTCACTCCAGCATCTAGCACAATGCTAATAAATATTTAATAATTCAATGAAAAAAATTAAACTGTGCAGATACTTAAAAAATTGTACATATTTGACCTACAATGATTTTGAGACTTGGACAATAAAAGGGAAGTAACCATTCCAAAGGTTCTTTCGTTGGATCTATTCAGTCATGTGTGGAACACACTGTGTAGCAGCAAAATACAGAAGAAAGGCCCCAGGCTCTGTGATTCTGGAGTATCTTGAGCTGGAGTCAGCAGGGAAGAGGATACTTATAAAATGTGCAGAAAAATTATAGATCTGGGCCTAATAAGCAGAGACTAATACATTTTGAAAATGTGTCATTTGTGTTTTATTGCTTTGGATTTGTACAAAAGTCAGTGACATCTCCCCCACTAGTATAATAAAAGCAGATAACTGATGGAGTAAGTCAATCGTTCACCAGGAATATCTATGACTAGATGCACTTTATAGCCACAGAGGGAACTTCTGCACAAAATGTTAACTAGTGTTCATAAGTCTACTGAAAATCAGACCTTGTGTGCTGTGTCCACTGGAATGCACTGGGCTGCAAGTAATAGGAAAATGCAGAATGGTTTATACAATACGGAAGATACACTATCTCAAAAACAAGAAGTCTAGAAATAGGATCACTCGGAGGTTGGCTAATTCAGCAGCTCAGTCACATCATTACGGACTATTTTGCCATCCTCTGACTTGGGATTGTCCTCAAGCTAGCTCCCTCACGATTGCAAGATGACTGCTACAGTCGCAGACCTGTTAAAGAGGAAGGAACCCTTTCCCAAAAGGCCCCCAGCAGCCCTCTCTTCAAATCACGTTGGCTAGAATTGGGTCACATGTTCACCCAAATATAAATCACTGGTAAGGGAAATGGGATTACTAGAACTAGTTTAGAAGGGAAGAAGGAAGGGACTTGGCTCTTGAATAGACAACCAACAGTGTCTGCTACATATGCTCAGTGGAAATGCCATGTCCATATTTCCATATTACTTTCTATAGCAGCTATAATAAATTGTTCAAGATGAAATACCTTAATTTGTGACAGAGGCACTTTTTCAGATTAAAGTTAAGCTGTCACCTGGTGAGGTAAAGACGAAACAGAAAAATCAATTCAGATGGGATAGAAAAGCCTCCATTACTTGACTTGACCAATCAGATTCAATTCCCCACATCACCCTCCCAAATTAGGGCAGTCTGTTGACTGTAATGGCTGAGGTCATTCCATTGAGGGAGAGATTTCTTTGAGATGAGAGAATGAGAAGAAGCCAGGCATGAAGTGAACAAGGGGAACAGCTCGCTAGGCAGAGGAAATAGCAATGTGCAAAGGCCCCGAGGCAGGAAACTGAAAGGAACTGCAAGTAATGGAATGATGGGCTTATGTGAACAGAAAGAGAATGTCAGAGGTGAGAGTGGAGGTGGGGAAGAGGCAGGCCGTCAAGAGCCTCGTGTGTCCTGGTCAGGGGTTGAGGTTTCATTTTAAGTGCAGTGGGAAGCCACTGAAGAATTAAACAGGATCTATAATGTAAAAAGGTCCCTGAGTAGCTCAAACAGTTTGCACCTGGCTACTAACCGAAAGGGTTGGTGGTTTGAACCTACCCAGCGGTGCTGAGGAAGAAAGGCCTGGCTATCTGCTTCTGTAAAGATTACAGCCAAGAGAACCTATGGAGCCATTCTACTTTGTAACACATGGGGCCGCCATGAGTCAGAATCATTGCAACAGCAACAGGGTTGGGTTTTTGGTTTTTTATTTCCAAATTTGATTGAGACTGCCACTCAGTTCAACAGTTGTCAACTCATTTATCTCCTAATTCTCTTCTGGAAGCTGGAAGGGGATGCCGCCCCTTAGGGCAGAAAAGTGATGGGGAAGAACACCACCATCCCACACAACCAGCCAGCTTCCCTTTCAGTCGTGCCTGTGGTTTGCATACTCTGGGGCACACGCTTCAGGGGGTCACTCACTGCTCGAAGGCTGCTCCTTTCTGGTGCCAAGCCCTCCCACACTTGAGATTGCATTCCTGAGCACAACACATTCCAGAGCTGATGCCCTCCTGCTTCCTTAGCAGTTCCTTGATAAAAATTTCGTACGACAGTTTCTCCATTTTTATCTTCCAGATTTTCAACTGTGCTTATGCAGAGCTAAACACTTACAGAGCGCTGAAAAACAGTTTTAGAGCAGAGATATGTACGTGGTTCTGGAGAGCTTGGAGGAGTGAGCATTTATGTCTACCTGGGTGGGCTTCCTGGAGGCACCTGGAGAGGGGACAGGACAGCTAACTTTTGAGGGAGACTTAGAGGGGGGTTGACAGAAACAATTAAGCACTCGACTACTAGCTGAAAGGTTGGCAGACCTGGCGATCTGCTTCCAAAAGATTACAGCCTTGAAAACCCGACGGAGCGGTTCTGCTCTGCACACATGGGGCGGCCATGAGTCAGAATTGATTCACCAGTAACAACAACAGAGAAGGGAAAGGCGTAACCAAGGACAGTGGTGGAAGGTTGCTAGAGAAATCCAAGGAGAGGCTGTGGACATCTGGGTTGACAAAACTAGTCCAGATAAGGAAGAGCTGGATTAAAGAAATAAACAGATATTCAGGGGATAGAACCGGTCATAGGACAGAATTCACAGCAACTCCAGCTCACCCCCTGAGGGATTGTTCTCAAGCTGAAATACAAAACTCATCAAAGTTCATCCTGAGACCCTGCTCTGGATCTAAACCTGAAAAATTTTATTAGCTCTTGCTTAAGGACTTTAGGATGCTTCGGGGGTTATGCAAATTATTGTGATTCCTCTGTGCCTATTTCCCCGCCAATGGCAACCCAGTCTTCTAAGTATAGTTAATGTCAGAAGTGCAATTATTTTCCTGAATATTGTTTCTTTTCTCTTTTCATTATGAAGTATATTCGGTGCTCTTCGAACTGGTGCTTATATGGTGTACATTTTGATGACCAAAGGCCTGAAGCAGTCAGTCTGTGACCAGAGTTTTTACAATGGACCCGTCAGCAAGTTCTGGGCTTATGCATTTGTGCTGAGCAAAGCACCTGAATTAGGTGAGTGTCTTCTCGCCTTCCTTTTGCTCCCTCTCGCTCTTGGTAACCACTCGTCTATCTACAATATTTGTTAAAAAAAAAAAAAAAAAATTTGTTTTTTGAAGGTCCTATTCTGTTGGTTGCAGGAAAGTTATGATTGAATTTGGGTTCTTGACTGACTTCCACTTGCTTTTTCTCTCTCCTTTCCCTCCCTTCTTTTAAATAATTGTACACTGTGTATATTAAGAGCCAAATAGTTTACATAGAACATGTAGACTTTCAAGCACTACTGAAAATACCCTTCTAGCAGCTTATAAAATATACACAGCCCCTTCTCGAAGGCTCATTAACAGCTGAGCTAATATTAGAATATGGGGGAAAAAGAGCAACAAAGCTATATCCAAGTCCCATATCCAAACATACTTTCATCTCTAGAGTTAGGAATCAGATTGTGTTCTCATTAGCAAATGCTAAGGGCTGGTCTCTGGTGGCGTTTGATTTTAATCATCAAAGAGATGGGCCTTGGGGAAGGAGAATGTAGTTCACCTTCTAGAAATTAATAGAAAATACTGGCTATACGTGTCGATTCCTAAGGTTTTTCCTTCAACTCATCATCGATCTTGAATATAAGAGTGGCACAGGTTAGCCGGAACAGTGAAAAACGTAAATGGCAGGGAGTTGACATTGGTACAGTTCTCAAGGAAAATACCTTTATTGCAAGAAAAAGGTATAATTGCTGGGGATAAGAAGCTCTGAGTTTATCCGCGAGCCGTGCTGGCCATCATCCCACAAACTGGTATATATGCTTAGGGATTTCCTTGCCACACTATGGGTGCCTTATTTATTTATTTAAATCTGGAGTTAAGAATTGTACGTATGCATTCAAAATCCTTATTTATAATATTTATAACACATCCCCAATTCCCCTAAAAAAGGATTAGAGGTCATAATTTCATTTTAAGTTGCCTATAAAATAAGCTATCAACAGCCTATCTTTAAGTCGCCCCTAGTTCATGTCCTGTGTCTATTCAGATAGGATATGAGTTCTCTGATAGATGAGTTAGCTACCTATCCACCTTCCAATGGATGCTGTACATCTGCTGCCTATGACTGGCTAGTAACTGGTTTGAGCTATAGGTTTGACCACTGTCTTACCAGGTTAAAAACCAAGGAGGAGCAGAAGAAGAAACTTTTTTCTGAAAATCTTTCCTAAGAGGGGGAGGAGTGTGAAGATAGGCTGCTACTTAATCCATAATAACTAGACCACTGTTAGACACACACACACACACACACTGCCTATGAAAACAGTCTTAAAGTGAAATGCATTAGTATGAATTAATTCATTCATTTATTCAATAAATTTGCATTAAGTACCTACCATGGGCCAGGCTTTTAATAGAGCTGGAATAGAATGGTTACTTTATCTAAAATGAAATTTACTATGTGACTATTATGAACCAGGCCCCAGGATGCTGTTTTTTATACTTGAATTGAGACTATAGGTACAAAATCTTAAGCTAGAGCAGTGATTGTCCGACTTGGATCCGCAGACAATGCTGGAAATTCTGCGGGTGTATTTTTAGGAATTTAAAATTTTGAGTTTTCAGTTTATGGATAATATTTTAAAAATTATCCTGCTGCATATATTTCTTTCACAGTAATTTTTTTATTTCAATTACACTCATAGAGTTACTGAGTTGAAGCATTTGTTCTAAACCGGGGTTAGTCTGAGAATGTGTATTCTTTATTCTTGGTGTTAGGTGACTTTTTCTTTAAAATAGATTCATGCATTATTAAAGTTTGAAAATTATTCAGGTTGAGAAATACATATCCCATCCCCCTGACTTTTAATTTACGCCACCCTGTTGTATTTTAAGTATCCTCTTTAATACCCTTCTCAATCTTTTTTGATACAGCTACAAATATAGGAGTGTGGTAAACGCCTGAAACACAGTGTTTCCTCTATCCTCAGACATTTTCAGGGCTTCCAACTCTGACTACTCTCAACAATGTTTACGGACAAAACAAAAAGAATCAGAAATGTTGTTTCTATACTTTTGGCCTGTAAGCCTCAGCTTACAAAGGAAAAACTTCAATCTATTCTTCTAGAAATGATTTTTCCCTGCCAGAGCTCCTTGTCTGTGCTCCAAGCTCTCCAGTTGTATTTGAGGGGCCTGAGAATGAAAAGAGTCCTTTCCACCACCACTTGGCGGAATCATTCATTGAAGAGCCACCCAACGCTATCTATCGTGGTCACTTTCTACTTGAATTCTAAATTTAAATCAAATTTTTAGGGTGGTCGATGGAGATAGGATTACAAGAGAAGAACTATTAGCTCAACACTCAGAGATTTAGTGCTACCATCCTGTGTATCATTTTGTTGGTCTAGCTGACATAAAGGGATCACCCGTATCTTAATTTAATCTAGGCACAAATGTGCCAGTCTCTACTACCCCTTGTTGTGGTTGTTGTTAGGTACTGTCGAGTCAATTTTCTACTCATAGTGACCCCTTGTGACAAAGTAGAACTGCTCATAGGGTTTTCTAGGCTGTAATCTGTATGGGAGCAGATCACCAGGTCTTTCTCCTGTGGAGCCACTGGGTGGGTTCAAACTGCCAACCTTTCAGTTAGCAGCCGAGCGCCTAGCCATTGCACCACCAGGACTCCTCACTGCCCCATAGCAGACAATATAACTGGACACAGAATCTTTTCTCTTGAGCCCAGAGGGATCCATAACTCAAGTCCACCTCTTGAAGTCCATTGAAGTGCTACACCATTGACATTATAATCCCTTTCCCTGAGGAAGCCTCATTCACCACAGTAGTTTGCAGGTCGAATACCAAATAATCCATCCCTTCACAGTTAAAATAGGAATTATACTGTTGACAATGGTTAATGGTCAATGGTCAATGGGGGTGGGGAGCATATCCTAATCTGGACATAGTTCTTCAATGAGGCTAGTGACAAATTGTTCAGGCAGTTTCAGATCCATTAGATCAATATTTTTATATCCTGAGTACCCTTTCTCAATTTTAAAATAAGATTTATTTCCCTTCAAATATTCTGGCACTCACTTGACAATGACCTTCCAGAGACAAACTGCTGAGTCAAAACAGGTCCAAAAATCAGTGCAGTCTGAATGTCTCTGAGACAGTTACTCCCCTAGTCCTCATTTAGGGAGCAAACATGTTTGCCTGGATGCCTTTTCTTTCATTTTGGAGGTTAAATTCCTTCTCGGTTTTTCACACATAGAATACCTTTTCACTAGCATTTAATTAAGAAAGATTTATCTATTCAGATTATTTAGAGCTATTCTTATTTTTAGGCCCTAAGTCCTGCCTTTCATTTATCTAACTTTTTGGACTCCCGTATGAGCACCAGAAAGAAAAGATTTATGAGAAAAAAGAACAGTTCTTCATGTTCAATACTGACGCTGTATTTTCCCCCAAAAAACTCACATGCCTGCAGTTTTCACTAAACTCTTGATAGCAAGAAGGGCTTTCTGTTTCAGCAGAAACAATGAGCTCATTTCAGTGAATTATAGGGTTATGATCTACTAGAACAAGTGAAGGGAAGAGAGCCACCAACCTGCTTTGTGTGTCAAAAATCTTTGAGTGCCTACTGTTTGAATTATATTAAAACCTGCTGAGGTTTGGTTTTGTTAAAACTTGGAAACATCTGCTCTGAGTCTAGGTCCTTGCTCAGTTGAGCTTGTCATTGTTTTTGAAACTCTGACTCAGCTGCACTCCAGCTAACTCTGTGAAGAGGAGCACAGCCATCTGTGACAAACTACACACTCAGAGTAGGCACTCTGTGTCTCTCTGTGGCCGTGAGCATGCTGGGGGGTTCCAAATGTTGATGGACTTCTCCATAGCTGCACAGAGACCTGTGCTTACCAGACACATGGGCAGGAGGTATAATTCAGGAGGCAAACCTGGGTGCAAGGAACACCATGCCCTGCCTGCAAAGCTAGCTCTTGACTGAATCAATGTTAGAGACATCATGGGAAAGAGATACGGAACCAGGACGTAGCTCAAAGTGGTGCCATGGATAAAATGTTCAAGAGTCAAAAGTTCTATTGCATATACTTGGCCAAAATCATTTACATAATGCCAGCTGGACCTTTGGCAAAAAAGACTGGTTGGCCAGTACCAAATACACAGCCTCTAAGATAGTCTGCATTTCTGTGTCATGCTGTAGTTTCTGGCAAGCTTGTAAATACCATGGTTGACATGACTCTGGCTTATGACAAATAAAATGTGATGTGTGATTTCTCCAGAGGAAAAAGTCTGTATCTCAACTGAAATATCAAAAAGAACCATGAGCGGTCTCAGTGAGTCCTTCTGGTACCATGTCGGTTTCTTCTCACTTGACCATTCTCTGGGTCAGCAGCCTTTCTGGGATACTGACTTTGATATGACATTGCAGTGACGCTTCTGAGAGGCTCCAGAACCACTACTGGGAGATTCTCATCTTCATTACTCCATCCACCATCCTGCATATTTGCTCTGAAAAAAATTCTTAAGAGAATTCAAATTAATTTTATTTTGAAGATTTCATGACACTCCCCTCACCGCCCCCCCCCCCCACCCCAACCAAGTAATTAGAAACACTGAATATGCCATGGACTTCAAACAAATCTGTCTTGGAAGAAGTACACCCGGACTATATAGCCACAGTAATCAAAACAGCCTGGTAGTGGTATAACAATAAACACATAGACCAATGGCATAGAACTGAGAGTCCAGAAATAAACCCACACTTCTGTGGTCAACTGATTTTTGACAAGGGTGGTAAGTCCATTCAATGGGGAAAGAAAAGTTTCTTCAATGAATGGTGCTGAGAAAATTGAATTTCCACATGCAGAAAAATGAAACAGGATCCATACCTCACACCACAAAACAAATTCAAATTCAAACACAGAAACAAATTCAAAATGGATTAATGACCTAAATGTGCAAACTAAAACCATAAAATTCTTAGAAGAAAAAGCAGGGGCAACACTGTCAGGCCTAGCTATTAACAATGGATTATCTAATATAATAAAAAGACAAAATAAATAAATGGGAACTCATAAAAATTAAAAACTTTTGTTCATCAAAAGACTTTACCAAAAAAGTGAAAAGACAAGCTACTGACTGGGAGAATATATTAGGAACCTATATATCCATTAAGAACCTAATAACCAAAAAATATATAAAACTTAACAACAAAAAGACATATAATCCATGAGATGGGCAAAGGACTTGAACAGACATTTCACCAAAGAGGGCATTCAAATGGCCACCAAACATATGGTAAGATGTTCAGCATCACAGCCATCAGAGAGATGCAAATCAAAACCACAGTGAGATACCATATCACTCCCACTAGGATGACTAAGATTAACAAAAAAAAACAACGGCAACAACAAATGTTGGTGAGGATGTGGGGAAATTGGAAACTTTACCAATTGCTTGTGGGAATGCAAAATAGTACAGCCCTTGTGGAAAACAGCGTGGCAGTTCCTTAGAAAGCTAAAAATAGAAATACCATATGACCCAGTATTTCCACTCTTGGCATCTACCCAAAAGACTTGGAAACAGAGACTTGGACACCAGTGATCACTGCAGCACTATTCACAAGAGCCAAAAGGTGGAAACTATACAAATGCCCATCACCGAATGAATGGATAAACAAAATGTGGTACATACATACAATGGAATACTACTCAGCCAGTAAGAGAAATGAAGTCTTGATATATGCTACAATATGTGTGGAGCTGGAAGAAAGCAATATGCTGAGTGTAATCAGTCAATCACAAAAGGACAGATATTGTATGATTTCACTTATATAAAAAGACAAACGTAATAGAGAATAAAGTTTATTAGTGGTTACCAGGGGCAGGAGGGAGGGAGAAAGGGATGGGGGATGTTAATGGTGATGGAAATATATTGATTAAGCGTGGGGTTGCACAGCCTATTATTTTAATAGCTGTTACTAAGTTGTACACCTGTAAAAAGTTGAATTGGCCAAAGTTGTGTGATAGATATATTTACAACAATGACAATAAAAAAAAGAAAGAGTAGCTGCTGAAGCTTATTGTGTATAACCAAAAACCTCATGGGATATTTGGTTTCTTGGTTTGGAGGTTTAGGGTCTTGGTTTTGTGGGACATCCCAGTTAATTGGCCTAATAACATGTTTAGTGCCTCTGGTCTACCTCCTACTTTGATGCATAGTGCCTAAAGTTTTAAAAGCTTGCAAGCGGCCATCCAAGGCACAATTCGTCTCTATTTGCTTACAACAACAGAGGAAGGAGGAGAGTCAGGAATAGGAGGAGCATATGGAATGTATGGCTAATTGCCTCCATGAACAACTGCGTCCTTTACCTTGAGACCAGAAGAACTAGATGGTGCCCAGCTACCATTACTGATCATTTTGATCAAAGATTCCAAAGGAGGATCCTGATCAAAAGGGGGAAAATACAGAATAGAATTTCAAATTCTCATGGACTCCATACGTCCTGGAGCCATGAAGACTGAATGAACCCCTGAAACTATTGTCCTGAAATAATCTTTAAACCTTAAACCAAAAATGTCCCCTGAAGTCTTCTTAAAACCAAACAATAATTTAGCTTAACCAGTAAAAAATGTCTGCCTTGAACATTATGCTCTTTTAAGAAGTGGGATCAAACGGGATCAAACTGACAACATCAACTGGAAAGATTAAATAGGAAATTTAGGGGGCAGTGAATTTATGTTAATGGAGGAGGAACAACTCAGAAAAGGAGGGTAAGAATGGTTACACAACTCAAAGAATGTGATCAGTGTCACCGAATGGTGCATGTAGAATCTGTTGAATTGGTGTATGTTCTGCTGTGTATATTCTCAATAACAACAACAAAATAAATAAAAATGTATATTAAAAAAAAGAAAAGAAGTACAGCCAGAATGCTCCTTAGAAGCCAGGATGGCGAGACTTCATCTCACATACTTTGGACGTGTTATCAGAAGGGACCAGTCCCTGGAGAAGGACATCATGCTTGGGGAAGTGGAGGGTCAGCAAGAAGAAGACCCTCAATGAGACGGGTTGACACGGTGGCTGCAACAATGGGTTCAAACTTGGCAACGATTGTGAGGATGGTGCCGGACCAGGCAGTGTTTCGTTCTGTTGTACATAGGGTTGCTGTGAGTCCGAGGTAACTTCACGGCACCTAACAACAGCGTGTCTCAGATCAAGCGTGAGACACCCTGCCTCTCAAGACAGGAAAAACACAAAGCAGTTCTCTCAATTCCAGAGCTGTATGTTGCAGTTTCAATTCCACCTTAGCCCATTCTAATCTGGTCTACATTTTGTCTCGTGCTACTCTCCTTGCATAGAAATTGTTCTCTAGACCATAAAGTTTTAATATTTATTTCTTAGTAGAGGATGCAGAAAGTGATGATAGAGTTAAATTAAATCTAAAGATTTAGAGAGAATGAAATGCTTATTACTTTATGCCAAAAAACTTTTGTTACAATGTGTTTAGATATCGTATGGGTTTTAAGTTAATGCTTAGGGACTCATAAATAAATCTAATTTATGAATGATTAAATTTGTGTTTAACATAGCACTTCTTGGACTTCCACCTTCTTTTCACTGTGAACAAAGCCAGGCTGGAATTATTCTGTCCACATTATCGTCTACAGAAGTAAGGGAAGCACGGAGCAGTAATTACACAGAAATAGTGGATCTTTGACAGGCATGCAGAAATAGCACAGTTTAAGAAGTAGACCTCAGGTCTCCTGATACCAGTTTTGTCCCCTAAATGTACATGTGAGAGTTACAATCACCATCCATCAGTATCAGCCCGTCGTTGACATTTATAGGCATTATAAGAGGCAGGCATCTTGCCATAGGGAAGAGCACTTCAATGAAAATATTATAATAGGTTCAGAAACACAGCAACTGGCAAGTTTCCTCTTCTCTTCTAAACAAATATGAAAGAATCATGTTTCCTGATCCAGTAGGTAAATTAATAGCTCCCGCGAATGGTATTGGGTTCCACCTGTATTGTTCCAGCGGTGGCCATCAGAAATTTTAAAGGTCTTTCTAAGGCCCAGCATCCTCCGACTTTCCTTAGGACCAAGTGTTGCAGGGTGTCCATGCAGTATGAGAGGGACAAGCCCATGTGGTTTCACTAGCTTTCCACTAGTTCCCTTTGTGCTTAAATAAATTTCAGATTAAGAAGAGGGATCTTCTAGTGCTTGTTGTTACACAAGGAGTCAAGTTTGAATTCACCTAAGGCTGCAAAGGATATTGGGTTTTCCCATGTCTGATAATCATAGAGACAGGAAAGAACATCATGTATTTACCTGCATAAACCCTGCTTCTGTCCCACATCCAAGCATCTCTTCCCTTTTTTTTCTTCATTGGTTGATGGTATTGGGCTTATTTTTACTGTGTTTGCCCTTGATAGGGATACACCTAATTTATTTTGCTCTTCATCCATCTTTATATAACTGTTCTACAATATATTTTCCAGAATCCTTAGACTTTTCAAGGAATCATTACAGAAAAAAACCAGTTTCTGAGGTAGGAAATTTGTGTTAGTAGAAGCTAGAATTGTACTCAGGTAGATGCTATCTGAGCATAATTCTAGCTTCTACTAATATAAATTTCCTACCTCAGATACAGTATTCTCTCTCTTCAAAGAGATATTGTTAGAAAAAAATTTGATAAGCCCTGGAAAGCTTTTTCACAGTAACTTCCATAAAAACTGGTGTCATTTCCAGTCTTTAATCGCTTGATTCATCAGTGTAAAACTATCCTGTTACCCTCTTCAGCAAATGTGCATGTAAAAAATGTCTTTTTTCTGTTTTTGCCTTTGGTTTAAATTTTACTTGCCTTGCAGCCATACAGGAAGGCTTCACATTTTACAGGGCGCTCACAAAGATAAGTGATTGAGGGGTGCTTCTGTCCGGTACTGAAGACGAATTATGGTTTTACCACTCTGGGGAAGCCAAAGAACATTGTGCTGAGCACCTGGCTTCTAGTCTCTTTCTCTCAGTTGATAGCTGATCTGAGACAAGTCACTTGACTCCTCCAGGTGATATTTTCCTAAACTATATGGTCAGAGAGAACGTGATTGCTGATGACCTTTCCCGTTAAAAATATTAATAGGATTTTGTGTAAAACACCTTCTTAAAAGTAACATTTACTGAGTACTTATCATGTGCCGGGTGGTCATGTTGTTGATCCTATTTAACCCTTGAACAACTCTGACCTAATTCTTTCCTTTAAAATTTTTAAACAATTTTTATTGAGGTGAAATATATACAACCAAACGCTTGCCATTGTAACCGTTTGTACATGTATAATTTCAGTGACATTAATTACCCATGTAGTGCAACCATCACCACGATCCGTATCCAAATTAACTCTGAGCTAATTTTATTATCCCCATTTTTCAGAAGAGGAAACTGGGAGTTAGTGAGGATAAGTAACTTTCCCAAGGTCACAGGGCTAGTAAATGCTGGTCCAGGAATCAAACCCAGTCAACCTGGCTCTCAAAGGAGGCCCAGTGGTGCAATGGTTAAGAGCTCCGCTACTAACTGAAAGGTTGGCAGTTCGAATCCACCAGCCGCTCCACAGGAGAAAAGACCTAGCAATCTGCTCCTGTAAAGATTTCAGCCTCAGAAACTCTCTGGAGCAGTTCTGCTCTGTCCTACAGGTCACTCTGAGACAGAATCGACTTGATGGCACACAACAATAGCAATCCGACTCTCAACTGCTAGCTCAAGATGTCTACTCTTGCAAAAATATAAATTTTCATTATGTGATGGTCGAAGGACTCAAGTACATTTATTTTCTTCTTTGTCTTTCAGGAGATACAATTTTCATTATTCTGAGGAAGCAGAAGCTGATCTTCCTGCACTGGTACCACCACATCACTGTGCTCCTGTACTCTTGGTACTCCTACAAAGACATGGTTGCCGGGGGTGGTTGGTTCATGACTATGAACTATGGCGTGCACGCCGTGATGTACTCTTACTATGCCTTGCGGGCGGCGGGGTTCCGAGTCTCCCGGAAGTTTGCCATGTTCATCACCTTGTCCCAGATCACTCAGATGGTGATGGGCTGTGTAATTAACTACCTGGTCTTCTCCTGGATGCAGCAAGACCAATGTCATTCCCACTTTGAGAACATCTTCTGGTCCTCACTCATGTACCTCAGCTACTTTGTGCTCTTCTGCCATTTCTTCTTTGAGGCCTACATCGGCAAAATGAGGAAAACAATGAAGGCTGAATAGTGTTGGAACTGAGGAAGCCATAGCTCAGGGTCATCAAGAAAAAAAAAAATAGACAAAAGAAAACGGCACAAGGAATCACATATGGTGCAGCTAAAACAAAACAAACATACGAGCAAACACAACACCCAAGGCAGCTTAGGGATAATTAGGTTGACTTAACCCAGTAAGTTTATGATCCTTTTTTGGTGAGGACTCACTGAGTTCACCTCCATCTCAAAGGACTGCTGTTGGAAGTCCCCATCCCCTCTTTATCTGTCAACTCTATGACAAATGAGAACAAAAGCGAGCCAGAGGTAGAGAGGGAGGAAAAGAGAAGGCAAACAAGGCTATTAACACAATATGAAAAGAAACGTATTTACTAAGTGTTACATTTCTCTAAGGATGGACGTTTTACTTAAAAAACTGTGTGAGCACACGTACATACACACACAATCCTTCCTGTTTTTCAACACTAAACTAGAACAATAGGAAAGATAAAAATGGAAGAGACACAGGGTGTACATCTAGAACAACAAATGTTTTTGCAAAAATTTAAACCTTTTAAAGAAAGGTTAGCAGTCGTACCCCCCCCCCACCCCCAGAAAAGATGTCTTAATCACCCATTATGAAATTGGATGTAAACAGTGAGTTTCCACTTAGAGAAAGACTAATTTTTTCCCCTCACTGCACAGCCTCAGGCTAGTGAGTTTTTGCCCAAACCAGACGAGGCACGATACTTTTCAGGGTTCTTCCTGGGAGGATGGAAACCCCGTCACCCAGTCCCCAAAGGGGCAGCTCTGTCTTTTCTGATCACCGAACCGCAGTTTCTACTCTTAAATGAGATATGAAGCGTTAGCCTTTGTCCAGTGGCCCCGGGCTTTTGAACAGAAGAGTAAATACAGAATAAAAAAGGTAAAAATTCGATTAAGAGAACTCAACCAAATGATTTGAAAATGGACTCTGTACTGTCTGTAAAAGAGGTTCAGTGCAATACCATTCCCAAGCTGAGAAAAGAGAAAAGACAGTGAGGGAGAGAGATGAGGCGGAGATTCTATTCAACAGGCAGTCAGTATGTCTGTTCCTCCCTATCTGACTTCACACATACGCATAACCTTCCAAATGAAACCCTGTGGTACAGCCCATATTTTCTATATTTTTGTGACTTTCAAAAAGAATTCTGCAGGGCTCTTCCTGACATGCGTGAACACTGTGTTTCTGCATCATCTGCATTTGCTCCCCCAGGCAATGTAGAGGTGTTTAAAGTGCCCTCTGCTGGTCAAGTGGAGATACTTCAACAAATACTTCATGGCAAGTGTGGCTGAAACAGTTGACAACAAAGGGCCCCCTATAGACTTACCATAGTTTTAAATGAGATAAAATAGTCATCATTTTTTTGACCAAATCAGAAGACATTCTGCTTCAAGTCAACTTGAGAAATTTTTTTAAAAGGGGACTTTCGCTCTGGAACTCAGAAAATCAATTTATTAAGAGCCATATTCTTTAAAAAAAAAAAAAAAAGCTAGATTATATTATCTATGATATTTCAGTCCTTTGCAAGCCAAAAAAAAAAAAACGTGTAAAACGTTCCTAGTAGTTCAAAGCAGCAATTATGTAAAGTTGTTCAATGTGATGTAATAGTATTCTAATTGGTTAAGTCGCTTAATGATTAGACAAACTATATGAAGACCAGGGACCCCATACACTGCATAGATTATACACACGTCACCCCACATATATGCACACAGATGTGCGGTACACTGAACCGCAAAGCCCAAATGAGTAGAAACACATTTTCTGGCTAGCAGAAACAGAAACTTGTCTCCTTGCTTTATTTGAGAGTGTACAGTAAAAGGGATTTTTCAAAATTATTTTTTTATTATTTTAGCTTTAATTGTGCTGTCATTCATGAAACAGAGCTGCTCTGCTTTTCTGTCAGAGATGACAAGGGCTTTTTCAGCACCTCGTTTATGTGTGGAATTGAAAAAGAATAAAGTTTTATTCCATTCTGTGTGAATGGCTTGAACAATGAACAAAGAATCCATGTAAACCAAGTCACGGCTGGTAGAGCTGGGGGAAGGTGTGACAGGGAGGGGAGCTGTTACGTCTGTGTTACATTGCTGTGGACAGTCTATGATGGCTGGACGTTGGTTCACGGACGAGAAACAATTGATGGCGGAACGTACTATTACTAGGGTAAAAACTGACATGAGTTGAAAAGACTGGTCCCTCGATAAGAAACAACTATTAGATTCTTAGGATTCGAATAATGTTATTTAAGCTTTGAAAATACATGATACTGTGCAATAAGCTCTTTTTTTTTCCTTATAACAGAAAGTGAGCAGAATAATTAAGAGGAGGAAAAGGCAAAATAACAGCTGACTGGAGTTTAATCGAGGGACCAGTTAGAGGCTCATCTGGTTGATTTAATTATTTAATTCAGTGATTTGTCATTGATCCTTTAATGCAGGTTAGAATAAGGCAATGAGCAGAACCCTTAAATAGATCCCAAATGAAGGTTCCAAAGCACTTCCATCTTGGTATTTGTTTCATACTTGTATTCACTTGTGAAATGATTTAGGATTTTTGTTTACAGGTTGAATGTGTAATAAATAGTTTTTAAATTAGCTAAATATATCTAAAAGCATTTCTGATGTTTATCACGGGAAGAAAAAAAAACACATTTTCAAAATCGAAATTCTGGTATTACAGTTTCAGTACAATGTTTTTTAACATCTCAGCTGCTTAATTGTATCAAGACATAAGGCTGGATCACTAGCCCATGGTAAATCTGAAACCTACCAGAGAATTGACTGCCACATAGAAAATCCTGCTGTCAGTTAACATTCCAGAAAAACTTGGGCAGGCAAGTTTGTACAGTTGCCCCACTATGCTGCTATCTTTCTACTGAAGCTGTTCCACTGCATTCCAGTCCCAGGATGGTGAAAACATCATTCCTGAATAAAAATGAACCCTGATTTCATATATATGTACATGCAATTTCATACACTGGATGTGAGCATCAGCCATGAGTTTGCGATGGAAAGCAGTCTGTTTATACAGCAGAAGGGTTTATTTGGATCTTCTGGTTCAGTTATGAGAAAAGAACAACTACTACATTATTCCTATCCAAAGCCAGGTCCAGAGTACGAAATTAAAATCATGGATTGATGTTATTATTCCAAAAATTTATTCCCATCCTTCTAATCACTCTCCAGAAGCCCTGGTGGTGCAGTGGTTAAAGGTCTCAGTTGCTAACCAGCTGCTTCGAGGGAGAAAGATGTGGTAGTCTGCCTCTGTAAAGATTTATAGCTTTGGAAACCCTATGAGGCAGTCCTACTGTGTCCTGTAGGGTCACTATGAGTCAGAATCACCTGGACGGCAGTGGGGAATCACCCTCCTCTACAAAAATGAGATGGGGAGAGAGTGAAGGGGAATACATACATAAATGTTGCTTGAAAGGAAAGAAAAGGTTGATCGTATCTCCCTCAGTTCTCCACCTCTCTTTACTAAGGTAGATCTGGACTGAGTCGGAAACTGCATTTGAGTGGGCTTTTGTATAATTTAATGGAAAGACAGTAGGAAGCCTAAGAGAGCACTTCTAGGAAGGAAATCCACAGAATTGTTTTAAAAATCAGATGTGGTATCTTTATGATAAGATAATGCCTATCACATCAGAGAAGAAAGAAAGCAACTGGAGTCAATTACACTGGAGTGTGGAACATTCCAGAAGTCTGGCCTCATTCCCAGACTGCTGAGTTAGTTACCTGGGGGAGACAACATGGTCAGACTACCATCTTAATTCTTTATACTGATAGCACAGCCTCTGCTCAAAGACTGTGAGTCAGCTGTAGCACAATTTAAGGGCTTTTCTTTTCCAGTTTGGTTGATGATTCTTTAACACAGTGGCTGGATTGGCCACATGCTGATTCAAGAAAGCTGTTAGAAGGGTGAAGAAGATCAGATAGACCTGGCCTCCAACACTTCAGCCTTTGACTTGTGTATCTGTATATGCATGGTCCACGTCTGCCTCTTTTAGATGCTGATTTCTCTGAAAAGTTTCCATCCTCATTTTTCATCCTGAAAAATTCTCATAAAATTGTGTGAAATTCTCATACAGTTGTGTGCGAACTTCATGATGAAAGCCCAGAACTTTCCAACAGTTGAAGGGAAAATAACTTCCACTCTTTTTGTTTTGGTAATAAATATTTTACTATCAATTTGAGACAGTACGTTTATGGGAGCCTTTGTTAATGCTGTGAGTCGTTGTCTTATAGCTTTTTTTAAGTTGTTTTTCTGTCCTTTTTATATTTGTTTCAAATATGCAAGACCTGATTCTTTGTGCCTCAGATTCATTACAATGTGGAAGATAATTTTTGTTGAGACTGTACCACAGGACTTGGCCTGTAGTGTGTACCCATTCAACTGAGAGCTGGTTAAGCAATGATACCTATTTTGTGTGGACAATCCAGATGAAGTGCTAGGTCCCAGTTTGCCAGTGAACCAAGAGCCTTCATATGTTCTAACCCGGTACTTAAGAAGCAGAACAAGTGTTAGTGCAGTTAAAGCATTTTCTTGAACACAAGTTGTTACGGACTCCAGTTACAAACCTCCATGAGCCGTATGGCAGTATCCATAACTGCAGGGGCCATTTTAGTACACCTGGGCAGAGCATCAAGGAATACCCACAAGCCTGTTGAATCAAGTTGCTTTCCTCACAGAAGGAAAAAAAAAGAAACTACTCCCCAGGCTCTTCTGCTACCCTTTCCTCCTTCAGAATTATACTCTTTTTTTTTTTTTTTTTTAAAGTGAAATAGAAGTTGTCCTAGCATTAAAGAGATTGACAACAATAGCACATCAGTGTGTGGGTTTGGGGGGATCTCCATAACGGCACTTTGATTTTAGGTTGGGCAGGCAAAAGTCTTACAATCAGTTCAATGGAAGTCTGAACCCAAAACTCCATTGTAACAAACTTCTCCTTGAAGCTACTGGTTGAAGTAAAGAAACTGGTCCCGTAAGCAAGGTCAAGACACATTCGCAAAACATGTAGGCCAGAACTGAAGAGCCTGACTCATATGTTGGTATTTAAACCCATATGTTGATATTTAAACCCTGCTATTTTCCCAATGCTTGGCTGCACTGGAGTCTTTTTCTCCCGGTGGACAAAAATCAAGAAGGCTACAGAAGTAGCCTAATAGTGCTCCCCAGGCATGTCAGCTTCTGACATTCAGGCGGGAGGTTGCTTGCTGCTACCTTGAAAACCACTGGGAGATTTAGCCTCGTAGGGGCCTCAGAGCCAATGTTCAGATAGAAGCCCACCCATACAAGCTTCACAGCAAATCACAGCAATGTTGGAATTGTTATTTTCAAGTGCTTACTTCACAACATTTAAAAAAATTATTTTTTCTGGTGTATTAAAATTAAAAATAAAATCATAACTTTTGATTTAAAATGAAGCTATGTTTCTGTTTTCTTTTATCTCTTTTATGGGCAGTTCAAAGGGGCATCCAGGACACTGAAGGCTACTCCAAAATCTCAAGACCACTGACACCATGGAATGTAGCTAAGTCATTAAAACTGTTGGAATTCTGTCTTAGTCATCTAGTGCTGCCATAACAGAAATACCACAAGTGGATGGTTTTAACGAAGAGAAGTTTATTTCCTCATAGTCAAAATAGGCTAAAAGTCCAAATTCAGGGCATCAGCTCCAGGGGAAGGCTTTCTCTTTCTGTCAGCCTTCTTCTCTTCCGTGTTCCCCCGGATTAGGAGCTTCTCTGCGCAGGGACCCTGGTCCAAAGGACGCGCTCTGCTCCCGGCCCTGCTTTCTTGATAGTATGAGGTCCCGCTGTCTCACTGCTCACTTCTGTCTTTTATATCTCAAGAGATTGCCTCAGGACACAATGCAGTCTTGTAGATCAGGTCCTGCCTTACTAACACAACTGCCACCCATCCTCCCTCATTAACATCACAGAGGCAGGTTTACAACATACAGGAAAATCACACTACCAGGAATCATGGCCTAGCCAAATGGCTACACGCATATTTTGGGGGACATAATGCAAACCATGACAAAGTCCAACAATGATGTAGTTTCTATATCTAAAACCAAACCAAACCTGTTGCCATGGAGTCGATTCCAACTCCTGGCAACCCTGTGTGTGCGGAGTAGAACTGCTCCATAGGGTTTTCAAGACTGACCTTTTGGAAGCAGATCGCTTGGCCTATCTTCCAAGGCACCTCTGGGTGGGTTTGAAACACCAACTTTTCAGCTTAACTGTTTGCACCAAGCCTTTCAATAATACCTTCCATGTATGTATCATTTTAAGGCGCCCTGCTGGCGCAGTGGTTAAAGCACTCAACTACCAACCAATAGGTCAGCAGCTCAAACCTACCAGCCTCTCTGCCGGAGAAAGATATGGCAGTCTGCTTCTGTAAAGATTTACAGCCTTGGAAACCCTATGAGGCAGTTCTACTCTGTCCAGTGGGTC